AGATATAGGATCTCCCACCTATAGTTATAGTCTGTCTGAGATATAGGATCTCCCACCTATAGTTATAGTCTGAGATATAGGATCTCCCACCTATAGTTATAGTCTGAGATATAGGATCTCCCACCTATAGTTATAGTCTGTCTGAGATATAGGATCTCCCACCTATAGTTATAGTCTGAGATATAGGATCTCCCACCTATAGTTATAGTCTGAGATATAGGATCTCCCACCTATAGTTATAGTCTGAGATATAGGATCTCCCACCTATAGTTATAGTCTGAGATATAGGATCTCCCACCTATAGTTATAGTCTGAGATATAGGATCTCCCACTTATAGTTATAGTCTGTTGTGAGTACAGGTTTATATGATATTATGGACAGTTGTGAGTACAGGTTTATATGATAGTATGGACTGGTGTGAGTACAGGTTTATATGATAGTATGGACTGGTGTGAGTACAGGTTTATATGATAGTATGGACTGGTGTGAGTACAGGTTGATAGACATCAACTCATATTGAAGATATTGACACATGAAGTACGATTCCAGTGATCAAATGAAGCTTGATATAACATACATGAAAATATTAAGCTCCAGACGTTAGATTTTGTTGTTTTATTGCCTTGTCAATTAACTCACACCTCATGTCTGTAATACCAACTATACCCATATATTAGTCCTCCAATCCTGATGAAATTCTGGCTGACGAAATTTTAACTTGATTTTAAAGAAACCTATAGACATAAATCGGAGGAAAATTTTGAAACATTAATCCGTGGAGAAATCAGATTCTGTCAAAATCCTACAAAAAAGCCCGTCAAGTTTTTATCTCGGCAGTTGGTGAAAATGGCAATTCAAGTGATTCATTTGGTTTTTCTCTATAGAATGGTAAAATGAAAAATTTGATCGAATCACCAAAATGGTATCTAGGTGTCTTTTTTGTTTTTTTCTCCTCAGTATAATGAGTTTGAAAATTTGATTTTGGCAACCTTACAATATATATGTGTTTTGAAATTTACAGTCAGAATTGAAAAAGCCAGTGAATAAACAGAGACAGTTGGAAATGTCAGAATGAAATATTGTAAGGTATTGTTTCGGTGTATCTCATGACGTAAACAAGTCTGTTATCGTCACTTGCAGACCTGTGATTCTGTGCGTCTTGTAGAGTTTCACTGAGGTATATCAAATACAGAAGGTGTGCCACAACAAACACTGTACTCCAGGGACACTGTTTCAGTTTTACCATAAACAACAACAGGGAAGATAGGGGACCAATAAAAATCAAATATGTGATTCGATGAATAATGAATAACATACAGGATATGTAAATCTCCGATGAGAAATTTGTCATTAAAATTTTAATTCCTTGATATCAATGCTTGAAATCCTTTGTATGCTTAGCAATCTACCCATGCTGATTTACTGTAAATTATTGGTAACAGATTGTTTTAAATAATCTGAAAATTGGTGTGGTCTGTTTTTTTCCCAATTGGTTCCGCAGCACTTAATGACGATTGTTTATTTGTAATGCATTAGCTGTAATAAAAACAATCAAAAAACCACGTCAGCATCCTTTTATCAGCTATGGTTCTCCGCTATCTGCTCTACACCCAAAGGCTCTGCAATGACGATGCTAAACATGTGATCTGGCATCATCAGTGTTACAAGTGCAAAGGTACCTACTGCCATATAAGGCATAGATATGTCAGGTGATAATGAGGAAATCTTATCAAATATTCATGATGACCTTTGTCCTGGTATTTTATTGGTCTGTCTGTGACACTCTCTGGTTGTCATCCTGACGGTCTTGTCAATATTATGTTTGTGACGACATTCAGATTATTGATGTCGTTCTATATGAAGTGCTACAACATGTGCTTTACACAATAACAACACCGTGAGCTGAGCTGTAGGAAAGTGTGGTCAGAACTGTAAGTTAAATGTAAGGTAAGAATTTCTCTTACAGTAATGCACAAATAATGTCTACTTTTTTATATTCTATTTTTATCTAATGTTTTCATTTTAAAACAACCAGAGACTGTAGGTAGTATCAGCCAGCATTTCACTATTTAAATTTGAAGCTACTGAGAAATATTTTCATCTCCTGTCATATTAAGGCTGATTTTAGATGCTGTGAGGATTTACTGATAAATTAAATGGCGTGAAAACCATTCCTGGTCTCACCCGATACTGTAGACTATTTCCACTCCCAAGGTTTGATATAAAAGGTTAAAGAATGTGTTTTTAAGAATGTTATCAGGTCTCTCATTCCACAATGATATACTGTACTTCAAAACATTTGGTACAAACAAATTTGTGACTTGCTTATAAGGAAACAGTTAAGTTATTTACAACTGTATGTAATTTTTTCAGTAAAGAAATTAAGACATTTTTATGTTTCCTGGGCATTTCTGATTTGTGTCAATATGTCCCATCATCGGCATCAGTTACAGTTGGTTTTGGTTCAGAATCCATTTGTTGTAGTATTTTGTAAAAAAATGTTTTGACGAGAAATGATGTACGATTGAATACGCTATCACTCAAAACTCATTACCTATATGATTACTTGAATTAGGAATCACTGTTGATGCGTAGGTTTTTACACACGCAAACACACACTCCTTTACATACATTCACAAACTATCCCATGCCCTTGCTACTTTATCAAATCAGATTAGCATCCGGTGTCCTCAGGAAGTTCTTCACTTTTACTTATACACAACTTCAAATTCTTCTGTACTAACACGAACAATCAACATAACACAAGGGATACTCACCCACAACCACACACTTGATCTGCATGGGGCAATTGTATACCAACATCTCTACAGGCACAGTGTTCAAAAACCAGGTCATTTAATGGAATTATTGTGATGGTGGATTTTTTTGCCATTTTTTGTGGATATTCTGTGAATTCTAATGTGAAATTTTATCATTATTCCTAAAACAGAAGAAAACACGATCACCTGTGACAAAGCAAGGATCAGGAATATATTTGGTTTAATTACCGTTAATCAATTCTTTACTTGAGATTTGGAAACTTTGCTCCTTAGATCTTTAAATGAAATTCAAACTAAAAGCTAACTTTTCAGTGAGGAACAACATGTGGATGTGTCTTTCATGCAAGGTAAATGGTGTCATCAACATCTAACCATCTAACACCTGATTATTTTCAAAATGTAGATGTTCTAACTCTTTATTTCAACATCTTTTTTAACAAAATATCAAATCCAAACTTTGTTTTTTTTTTTTTTTTGAAATTCTAAAATATTGATCAAGCATAATATTGGGTGATTCTAGCATTTTTCACAATTGTGACTGGCCACGAGTTTGACATAATAAAATAAGACGAGTGGGCAAATCCTGGTAAACGTGTATGATTTACAGTAGATTTATGAAATTGACACTGTTGTGATGGTGACACAGAAATCTGAGGTACTTAAGCAGTGTTAAGTGATGAAGTGGTAAACATCTGAACCATAACACATCTTACTTGTGAATATCAAAATCTGTCAGATACAAGTCTGTACTGACATATTTCTTGATGACAACTGTCAGTAAACATGTGGACAACTAAATAGTATACAATAAAAAACTGTCACTGATACTTGATATATGAAATACGAATGTGTGAGATAAGATGAGACAGTAGGGATATGAATGTAAAATATGGTGTGACAATAGGGATATGAATTATGAATGTAAAATATGGTGTGACAATAGGGATATGAATTATGAATGTGAGGTATGGTGTGACAATAGGGATATGAAATATGAATGTGAGGTATGGTGTGACAATAGGGATATGAAATATGAATGTGAGGTATGGTGTGACAATAGGGATATGAATTATGAATGTGGGGTATGGTGTGACAGTAGGGATATGAATTATGAATGTGGGGTATGGTGTGACAATAGGGATATGAATTATGAATGTAAAATATGGTGTGACAATAGGGATATGAATTATGAATGTGAGGTATGGTGTGACAATAGGGATATGAAATATGAATGTGAGGTATGGTGTGACAATAGGGATATGAAATATGAATGTGAGGTATGGTGTGACAATAGGGATATGAATTATGAATGTGGGGTATGGTGTGACAATAGGGATATGAATTATGAATGTGGGGTATGGTGTGACAATAGGGATATGAATTATGAATGTGAGGTATGGTGTGACAATAGGGATATGAATTATGAATGTGAGGTATGGTGTGACAATAGGGATATGAATTATGAATGTGGGGTATGGTGTGACAATAGGGATATGAATTATGAATGTGGGGTATGGTGTGACAATAGGGATATGAATTATGAATGTGAGGTATGGTGTGACAATAGGGATATGAATTATGAATGTGAGGTATGGTGTGACAATAGGGATATGAATTATGAATGTGAGGTATGATGTGACAATAGGGATATGAAATACGAATGTGAGGTATGGTGTGACAATAGGGATATGAATTATGAATGTGAGGTATGGTGTGACAATAGGGATATGAATTATGAATGTGAGGTATGGTGTGACAATAGGGATATGAATTATGAATGTGGGGTATGGTGTGACAATAGGGATATGAAAGTGAGGTATGATGAGTCTGTAGGGTTATGAAAAATATGAAATATAGATGGTATATTGGCATAGTCCTGTACTTTTATTTGGGATTGAAGTTGTGTAAGTTATATGTTATAAGATTATGCTGTGTGATATATAACTGAAGATGAAAGTTTGTCATCAGATACTGAACAGTGTTGCTTACTGGGTGTGCCTTCATATGGATTCTTGAATGTTAAAAAACAAAGGTTATTTTCAATTTCAGTTCCTTGGAAATTTAACGAGTGCTATGAGAGTTTGTTTTATTAGGCACTGCCATTGAAAGCTGACACGTGTTGGAGAAGTCTTGTGCTAGGTGCTTTCCTTGAAAACTTTCCCACCGCAATATATATATACCATACTCTTGTATTGATTGGATCATTTCTCTGTTGACAGGGTGTGCATTTGGAAGAACCAACATCACCAATAACAAAACAACTTAACGAGGACCTGGACGAATTTGTCCGGCAACTCACACACCCAAAGGGAACTGTCGATCGCTCACAATCTATCGACGTGTCAGCCCTAGACAAATTGGGAAAAATGAAATTAGAAACATCACAGCCATCTGGGAGAGATGCCACATCACATAATGTGAGACGTTCTGCTCCAGAAATCACAGAAAAGCAGGAAAAACATAAATGTGAAGCAGTAGACAATCCTCGTAAAAGTTGGCGGAAACATATTCTACAGAGACGCAACGGAAAAAGCGTTTCATTGGGGACAAACTCCACAGATATTGACGAGGCTGTAGAAATTTCATTTGGTTCAAATGATGATGAGGGGCTGGATGTCAAAGAAATATCTTTTGACAGTACATCATCGGGGCTTCGTGATTCCAAAGTCTTATTTCATGGAGATTCCACACCTGAAGATTCTGATCAAGAGAGCACTCCGACACAGGGGAGCAAAACCTCTACACTTTATGGTCAAAAACATGTTAAAAAGGACAGAGATACACAAGCTGTAAAGGAATCAAAAAGACGCCGCTTTCGTCGCATGATAACACGCCCCTTGCGACGGAGTCAGAGTGCTGGATGTGAGCAAGATATACCAGTACATGCTCTGTTCCTACACCGTACAGAGGAGGGATCTCCAGAAAAAGACACGGTGAGTTCACAATATTTTAAAGATTTAAAATTGAGGTTTAAATCATTTTAGGCTATAAAGAAACAGATTCTAAGGTTAATGGCAGGTTTTAAGTTTTATCTCACATTCAGTTATAATCTGTTTTTATGGAAATAGGAGTCAATCTCTTAATCATGTAATATTTCCAATCTCTCATCCATCTTAACATTTTTACCTATATTTCCAATCTCTCATCCATCTTAAACTCTTTACCCACATTTCCAATCTCTCATCCATCTTAAAATCCTTACCTACATTTCCAATCTCTCATCCATCTTAAACTCTTTACCCACATTTCCAATCTCTCATCCATCTTAAAATCCTTACCCACATTTCTAATCTCTCATCCATCTTAAAATCCTTACCCACATTTCTAATCTCTCATCCATCTTAAAATCCTTACCCACATTTCCAATCTCTCATCCATCTTAAAATCTTTACCCATATTTCTAATCTCTGATTACTCTCTAAATCTGGACCTTTTTCTTGATTTCCCAATCTCTATTGGACATTGTTGTTGTTCTGAAATTTTAGGTTCATACAAATATTTTTTAAACAGATTTGTAACATGAAATAAATCTATTTCCATGCTTTAAAATGATAGAGCGATTTATTTCCTTTATATTGAATGATTAGATTTGTAGACAGTTTCATTTCTTTATATGTACACTATTTATATGTAGCTATATAAGATTGTGACAGAGCTATCTTTAGTCACAATATTCTATATTTGGAGTATGTTTACTTGTCCTTTATCGATCAAGCTACCAAAAATAGCTTCTATCACCAGAAAAATAAATGTCTTTGCCTCCAGATAGAAAGGGAGACAGCAGTATAGCTACCACTTAGAGACTCCAAATAGATTGGATTGTTCTAGGAAATTGTTTACGATATCTGATGGATAAAATGGGTGTGAAATGGAGATTCTGTAAAAATACATACGGAAATCTGTCTTTGGCAAGGCAGGTCATGTTTCATTGATTGTACAGCTGAATATAGGCCTCTAAGTCTACTCCATCTGATGAGATTTTCTACCCCAATTAGATATTGCATTTTCAAATTTGTCAGAATGTTTTCCAAATCCTCTTCGTTTTTAGAGTATAGTTAGTCTTCAGGTAAAAGCTTTTTTGTTGCGGGTGTAAAATATTTATCCTTTAGATGCATCTGATAGAAATATGTATAAATGAAAATGAAAAGATATGTTAAATTTTTAGTACTATCAAAATGCAATGAATTCTGATTTATTTCAGTATGTTAAAGAAGAATGAAAATTTAGAAATATTATACTTGATATATAGACTGAGGCAGTGAACTTATTTTTTCAACAGAGGTCGTATCAGTTACCAAGTAAAACGGCAATTTTTGCTTTCAAGATTTTCAGTCATATTTCAATCAGGACATTTATCTTGAAAGAAAATAACCTAACCAGGCAAAATATCTTGATCTCTATTTCACTGGTTACTTATATATAATGGCCAGATGGTTCTGGTTGCTATGGTACTCTTGTCAGGATAGGAGATAGATTCTAATCTCCCAGCATGACTTACTGACTGACAAGATCCATTTATGGTAATGGTGATTCCTATATAGGTGATAATCATTAACATTAATATTACTGTATATACTTCAGCCATTTCATTACCACCCAATTACAATAAATACGCTGTGATTTAATGCTGAATTTTTCATTTTGTATTAGTTTGTTTCTGCACAATTGATCATTTTTCAAAACACATGGTTATAAAGCATTGACCAGTTATCATATTCTCATGTTCAGATTGAAAGCCGAGCAGCTGACCTGTCCATGTATCAAAGACAGTTGTTTGGAGATGTTGAGGCTGATGCGGACAGCGCCAATTCCAACCTTCCACGTCGCCCAGTTCACAAGACATGTTCTGCTGATGCAGCCATGATGGCAAAGGAAGACTTTGGTATCAGTAGTAATAACAACAATTCTCAGACCAGACCAAAATCTCGTAACATGTAAGTTGTGATTTACACATCAAATTAGCTACATTTTACAAGGTATCATTATCTTTGGTTAATATGGAAAAGAAACTTCTTATGCCAAAACTTTTAATACACTGTTATTTTAATTGTTCAAAATCTTAAATTACATTAAAATGTTCAGCAAGCTCAATATTAGTAGAATATTACTTTGTTTCGATGTATTTTGTTGAAATGACATAAATCACATGGAGAATAACAAAATCACGTTTCAAGTACATGTGGTTGATGAAGATTTTTCAAGACAAGCCTTTGCCATTTTAGAGCTAAAAACATGAAGAGAAAGTTCCAGTTTTTACGACGCCGAAATACAGACACAGCTTTAGTCGGCAGCTTGCTGTCGGTTCACTCCAGACCTTCGTCAGATCAAGCCTCTCAGTGGAGTCATTCATTTGACACGTTGCTAGGTGACAAATGTAAGTGTTCTCCTTTGGAAATACCATGCCTGTTGTCTAACATGAATTGATGCTACCACCTGAAATCAATTCTGTTAGAAATTTCTTAAGAAAATTAAAGCAGTTGACTTCCAAATGCTCAGCACCGTTACTTATACCAGTGTATAGAACACAATGTGATGGAGAGGTTTCATTCACCCCAGTAAATTATTCCATTTTCTCACAAGAATTAAATCATTTGCCGTTAAAAGCTTGGTAAAATTCCAAAGAATGATTTTTGAAATATTTATAAAAATAGAGTTGTTAACAGTTGAATATTTCCTCTTTACAGGTGGCATAGAGCTGTTTAAGGGGTTTCTTCGTTCAGAATTTAGCGAGGAGAACCTAGAATTCTGGATTGCATGCCAAGATTATAAAAGTTGTAAAGACAGCAAGCTGATGGTGCAGGCTCAGAAAATCTACTCTGACTTTGTTGCTTTCCAGGCCCCTAAAGAGGTGAGTTACTGTAAAATCATTCATTTTAGTGGAGGATTTATTTACAATTTTTCTCATGTGCAGTCATAATTCTCAAATTCAAATGTTCACAGACTGACAATATTAGTATTAGTATCAGGAGACTGATTTAGCTATATTTATCCACGAAACCAATTGTCCATGAAAAAGTCCCCCTCCCACCACCTTTTTTTTCTCAAATTGGTGAATAAAATGTACGAAAAATAGTTGTAGAACTGTATGAATATGCCTTACACTAATACAATGTCAACATTTTCTGTTCTGATAATGCCTGCTTAAAGCAATTAAAACATGATATGTGAAGGAGGTAGATTTATCATAAGAACTTGGATGTAGAGAATACTTCATTAAACTCACTACGGGGTATATCCATCACACACTAAGACTTTCTAGTGATGACTAAGTATGTAAACTGGGACATTTCTGTATTATGTATTGTTGGGAATGTTGATTCTCTCACTTCATCTTTTTCTTTTCTCTTGTTTAGAAATTGATGAAGACACAATAGGTTTTGATTTAATTTTTGTTTCGTTTTTAATTTAATAAATGTATATTTGTATTTTTCAGGTGAATTTAGATTCCAAAACAAGAATGCAGGCGATATCTAACTTGGATACACCAACACGAGAAACGTTTGTTGAAGCCCAGAAACGTATCCAAGCTTTAATGGAGAAAGACTCTTATCCTAGATTTCTGGAATCTGATATTTATTTGCAGCTTGTTAATCTTTCGGACAATACTAAAAGTTGAATGTATTGATGGCTTTAAAAATTTCAGTGACAATTTTATTATTAATAACACTATTTGTGATAAAAGGAACCCTCTTGTCAAGCAGCTGTCAAAATTGAAAGAACTGATGCGAATGAAAATCATTTTCTGTGTTAAGGAACACTTTGTCACTTAAAGAGTAGGACAAATGACTTACGCATCTTTTAGATAAACGTGTGTGAAGTTCTCAGATCTGTTTGTATTCTGAGAAATGAGTAAAGCAACAGAAGATTTACAAGGTCCCTGGGGACTGATAAATGTGCGAAAGTTTCCTGAAAATTGATAAATGGGTAAATATTTACTTGTGTTGTTTGCAAGTTTATCAAAGACTGACAGTTTCAGAGGAGAACATTTAAAAAGGATACCATTCCCGACAACAGATAGCATCATCATTTTAACATCATCAGTGTATTTAGCTTTTGTTATTTTTATACTTAATGGAGGATAAATCTACCAGAGTGTTCTATGAGTGTTTCTTGCAAATTTAAATATCAGCTGTTACAGTTAATAATCGTGTTTATATTTGAGTGAACAGAACAATAAATCAGATGCAGGATTTTATTTTAATCCAAAGCAGTCACTTCTGATGTGTAGGTGGGGTGCAATATTATTGATTTGTTGGCCATTTGCTAACAATGAGTATATAATACTTAATGATTCTCATGACTCAGCATTGGGGTGGTTCCCATGACTCAATGGTGGGATAGCTCTCATGACCCAGTGGGGCGGTGATTCTCATGATCCAGTATTGGGGTGGTTCCTATGACTCGATGGTGGGATAGCTCTCATGACCCAGTGGGGCGGTGATTCTCATGACCCAGTATTGGGGTGGTTCCTATGACTCGATGGTGGGATAGCTCTCATGACCCAGCAGGCGGCGATTGCCATGACTCGATGGTGGGATAGCTCTCATGACCCAGCGGGGCGATGATTCTCATGACTCAATGGTGGGATAGTTCTCATGACCCAGCGGGGCGATGATTCTCATGACCCAGTATTGGGGTGGTTCCCATGACTCGATGGTGGGATAGCTCTCATGACTCAGCCGGGCGATGATTCTCATGACCCAGTATTGAGGTGGTTCCCATGACGCGATGGTGGGATAGCTCTCATGGGCTAATGGTTTTCCATGCGAATGTGATGAATTGTCAAACTTAATTTGACATATAAATTGAATTTGTTTTGTGAAATCATGCTTTATGGTAATATCTCTTATTTTTGTGTTAATTTTTGCATTTTTCTACCAAATCAATTTCACAAGAAGAGCGATTGTCTTCACGAATGCTGGTATGTTGTCATTTTTTATGGATGTTTCTCTATGGAACCCTTATGGCACAACACTTTTATACACTGGGAAATCTCCTTTTTTAATGTGTATGGCACATCAGTCCAATTAAGATGTTGTAGAGCTGATTCCCATGTTGTGACATATTTCTATCTTACATGAGATTTGTACATTGTGATGCAATGCTTGGATGGTCTTAGTAATTCCATGTTGAAAGATTTCATTGAACTAGATGGCGTTCTTGTATATTGTGACATTTTTGAGATAGTGATAGGTTTCATCAATTCAACTTGATATTGTATATGTTTTTATTCCTTAATTCTGGACAAAATGTCATACTTTATTCAACAATTTCATAAAAAAAAAATCAAAAATAAAATGTTGACAACAAATTTTCTATTTTGCAATATTTATTTTTGTTTCCATGAAAGGAGGATACAGAGACAATGTTAGGGATACACAGACAATATAAGGGATACACAGACAATATAAGGGATACACAGACAATGTTAGGGATAAACAGACAATATAACGGATACACAGATAATATAAGGGATACACAGACAATGTTAGGGATAAACAGACAATATAAAGGATACACAGACAATATAAGGGATACACAGACAATCTAAAGGATACACAGACAATATAAGGGATACACAGACAATATAAGGGATACACAGACAATATAAGGGATACACAAACAATATAAGGGATACAGAGACAATGTAAGGGATTCAGAGACAATATAAGGAATACACAAACAATATAAGGGATACACAGACAATATAAGGGATACAGAGACAATAATAGGGATACAGAGACAATTAAGGGATACACAAACAATATAAGGGATACACAGACAATGTAAGGGGTTCAGAGACAATATAAGGGATACAGAGACAATATAAGGGATACACAGACAATGTAAGGGATTCAGAGACAATATAAGGAATACACAAACAATATAAGGGATACACAGACAATATAAGGGATACAGAGACAATATCAGGGATACAGAGACAATGTAAGGGATTCAGAGACAATATAAGGGATACAGAGACAATGTAATGGATACAGAGACAATATAAAGGATACAGAGACAATATAAGGGATACACAAACAATATAAGGGAGACAGAGACAATATAAGGGATACAGAGACAATATAAGGGATACAGAGACAATATCAGGGATACACAGACAATATAAGGGATACACAGACAATATCAGGGATACAGAGACAATGTAAGGGATTCAGAGACAATATAAGGGATACACAAACAATATAAGGGATACAGAGACAATATAAGGGATACAGAGACAATATAAGGGATACACAAACAATATAAGGGATACAGAGACAATATAAGGGATACAGAGACAATATCAGGGATACACAAACAATATAAGGGATACACAGACAATATCAGGGATACAGAGACAATGTAAGGGATTCAGAGACAATATAAGGGATACAGAGACAATGTAATGGATACACAGACAATATAAGGGATACACACAGACAATATAAGGGATACACAGACAATATAAGGGATACACAGACAATATCAGGGATACACAGACAATGTAAGGGACACAGAAGACCTTTTGTGTGGTAAAGTATTGGAAACCAGTATTACTTTGGCACACTATATTATAATATACAAGCTTACCTTTATTCAGCATATAACAAGTATGTTTCCAAGTTACCATTAATTCTGAAATATCTGATGATACAGCATCTAGAAAGATACTGGTGACATCAACTGAGAACATCTCCACAACAGTTATAGCTACCACTAAATTTAGATATCACCCTTTAAGAATGTATGTAACAGCAGAGACGTATAATATCAGAGGTGTATGTGTCATATATGTCTCTGGTAACAGCAACCAAAAAAGACCTTTTGTGTATCATTATAAGATAAAACATGTTGGTGAATGTAGATCGACTCCGTGGAATCTCATCAGCTGACCTATCTATTTCGAATCTTACCTGGTTTCTGTAGATAAAATCTGAAATGAGAACCGCGTTGTTGATTGATGGACAAAGATTTTCTGAGAACAAGCCCCGTCAGCTGCCCCACCAGATCAGTTTCAAATCTTACCTTGTGTCTGTGAATAAAATCTGAAATGAGAACTACATGGTGAATGGAAGACAACGATTTTCTGAAAAACAAATTTTGTCAGCTGCGCTATCGGATCATTTCGAAACTTACCTGGTTTATGTAAACAAATGTCTAATAAAAAAGACTAGACGACAAAGCAGGAACAATGGTAAATTGGAGGGGTAACCGAGAACATTATACAATACATCAATTTGTATTGGGGAAATCTACGTTGTTTGGGAAATATGTGATAGAAAAATTGGGTCTGGAATTGGTCAAAGACGACAAACTATCCTTCAATGAGACGCAAGCCGCGGCCATTATTAGGAAGGACAATGGTCGCAAATATTGACAATAACAAACAAAAACATTAATTTAAATCGTTCTGCAAAAACTGACACACATTAAAGAAAACAGTAGGTAAATTAAAACATGTATGTAATAAAAAAAAACACAGAAAAATGTCACCAGTTTATTGGTGAAATTTGAACACGTGCACATTTATGTTGCGGACGGTTGATCGAGATTAATGGTGAAAAGGATATAGTTTGTTTACTAATCACGGCTGTGTCTATTTAACATGTCAACCACGGTACTGAAAATAACTAGACACGGAAAACGTGTGCTAGGAAAACAAAATTAGAGAAAAGGGAATTCTAGGCAATTTATTGTGTTAATTATAAGTAGGCAGGTGAATAATCAACTCGGAATACCGGAGTGATTATGTAAAGTCATGGATTTCAATTCAATTCATGCTTGGCATCACAGAACCGGAGGAATGACGTCATTCACACGTCAAATGGGAAATTTGATGACGAAACCTCACGAGATACCGCGGTCTAACATATCGGTAATTATTTTCACTAGCTCAAATATGTTATACCACGTGATCAGGTTTATCTTGATTGACAAGTTTAAAATGTGTTACATAAGATACACGCCTGGTGTCATATCTAACAACTGCAGCCGCTCGCGGATCGGCGCACCTGATTTCACCGCTTGCATAGATCGTGTATTTGCCACGCTTTTAAATGAAATGAAAGTATATATAGAATCCGTTTTTAAAATGTTTATGTGACGCTGAATGTCCAACCAGCTGTATCAAGGGTAATACTAGCTGTTGGTCGTGATGTGTCTTCACCACTAAATAAATAAATGTACTTTAACGTGAGTTAGGATGGGATCGTGGGAGGTTCGAAAGCCTCAGTTAGTCTTCATCATACAATACTCTGCCGAAAACAGTATCCGGTCAAATAGGAACGGCTATTTAATACCCATGTAGTTCTTTTCAATATCAAATGTTTTTGTTTCTATTTGAAAGTTATTAAATTCCGTGCGGCTGATTCTAATACGCCGTGGAACTGGTTAGGATTTGTTTCGCAGATAAAATAAAATACTTTGAATTTAAAATTTTGATAAAAAATTAATACTAATTGTACAAATGACATAGATTCTACAAGTAGATAGCATCGTCTATTTGCCGAGTAAACCATTTACCCGCATTGCTATTTGTTCGTGGACTCGTCAGTGATGCTAGGAACCTTGTATTAATGTACAAGTCTACAAAAGGGCAGATAATAACATCAAAGGTTTCCATAAACACTCATTTATTTTGACATTTAGAGAATTAACAAATACAGAGTTTATGAGACCATTCGGCAAAACAATCAGTTATTTCACGATGTCGTTTTCGCAATGTTCCACCAATAAAATGTCCATGGCGTTCAGAGTTGAACAACAACATTAATAGTTCAGAACACCGTTATTAATTCAATCCTAGAATAAACTTGATATAAAATATCGGACAAGCACTGCTCACGGAAAACAAAATTGATATAGGCAGCTCGCATGCAAATCTACATCGCGGTATATGAACGAAACAAAGTGCTTTTAAGGTCACGCTTCAAAAAATGTATGAAAACACAGCGATACACTTGACTAATAATGAGGATAAAGACAAACAAGTACACATAAACTACAAATAGAATTGTGTGTGTATTTTACAAAAATTTGTACATCGTTAGATCACGGATATATAAGTCTGTGGTGTTCGACGCGTTAAACTTGGGAATAACAGATGTTAACTAGACTTGTCATGGCAGTTAGAAAAACAACAGAACACGTGTTTATATCTCAAGACATTTATAGATGACCTTTAATTCTCGGGAAATTCTGGATCATAATTTTTCATTTCCCATTCGAACAGGACAATGTCGTGTTGTGCGATACAGATGTTCAGTTCAGGAAAAGTATAAACAGGTCATGCATCATCGCGTCGTGTGAAGAACTTAATTAGTCTTAAACTCACTGCAGAATACAACTTTAATTAAACAGGGTTAAAATATTTCTGCGGGTTTTGAGACCAGAAAGAACTCCAGCGCTTGAAATCGCCTCACTCAGTGACATTTATATTTAAAACATACTGTTCCTGAAAGAAAGTGTGGAAAGAATATGTGCCAAATAACAAGAATGTATCTTTTGTATATGAATTCAATAATACTATACAGCGTATGTCTACTGTGACAAATTGTGTCCTGCTTGTGCCCATTATGAAGCTTGATTAAAACGAAAAACGAATTTTTAAAATGAAAAAGAAGATATCATGGACGATTAAAACACAAATAACAATGGCTAATAGTTTTTTAAGTTCATTTCAAAGTTAATTGCACATTTCTAATTACATGAGTAATTTGATGATATACTAACATACGTAACGGTTTAAAACAAATTACGTGAAGTACGAGATTATGCCGTATGTCTGTCCACTCTCATCTGTTCTAATGGCTGTTTAATTGCTTTGTTATTCTCCTCTGTTCTAATGACTGTTTGTTATTCAGAAGAATAGTAAGAAAAATACTTGAAAATTAATTATTTCCTGTTATACACATTCTATCGCATTTATCGGGAAATGTATTTCAGCAACTAGTTTAACTTTTGCTTTTAAACTAATTTATAAAATCTAACCTTTCAGAAAATCATTCCCGGAAAACAAAGTTTAATACTAGAACTGATTTACTTCTCAAAGGAGACATCCTTCGTAACATTTAAAGTTGTTAAGGCTCGTATGCCAGTAAATGTATACTGTAAATCTACCTGTACCTAGCTTTCCTATAAGTGATCACTTGTCAATTATAATTCATACCAGATGTATGGGGTTACAGATTGATGACAATATGATGCGGTTCATTTTATTACGGTAGGGTTAGAGTTTGTAACTCGGAAATGTTTTTACAAGTCCAACATTTTATAGAAAGTAGCAACAGGTTTTAAACCATGAAACTC